GGCGGGACCAAAGAGCTCAAAGCTCAACCCCCCGCACGCACCACTAGGTGAGTTTAGTGAGCTCATCAGCTGGTGTCTCACACGCCTAGTCTCTCTTCTCAGGGTAAACACCGCCTGGGATATTCTTCGATTTCCTCCGTCTTAGGAGGAATGAACATCTGCAGATGCTCTTCTTCGTTCTTCTTTCTTCCTTCTTTCTCATTGTCTCCCATCACCTCCTCTGTCTCTTCGGCTTATTATCTTCTTCTTCCTTCTTTCTCATTGTCTCCCATCACCTCCTCTGTCTCTTCGGCTTATTATCTTCTTCTTCCTTCTTTCTCATTGTCTCCCATCACCTCCTCTGTCTCTTCGGCTTATTATCTTCTTCTTCCTTCTTTCTCATTGTCTCCCATCACCTCCTCTGTCTCTTCGGCTTATTATCTTCTTCTTCCTCTTTCTCATTGTCTCCCATCACCTCCTCTGTCTCTTCGGCTTATTATCTTCTTCTTCCTTCTTTCTCATTGTCTCCCATCACCTCCTCTGTCTCTTCGGCTTATTATCTTCTTCTTCCTTCTTTCTCATTGTCTCCCATCACCTCCTCTGTCTCTTCGGCTTATTATCTTATTCTTCCTTCTTTCTCATTGTCTCTCATCACCTCCTCTGTCTCTTCGGCTTATTATCTTCTTCTTCCTTCTTTCTCATTGTCTCCCATCACCTCCTCTGTCTCTTCGGCTTATTATCTTCTTCTTCCTTCTTTCTCATTGTCTCTCATCACCTCCTCTGTCTCTTCGGTTTATTATCTTATTCTCCCCCTCACCCTCTCTTCGTTATTATCAGCTGCCATTCTCATTCTTTAATGTTTCTTAATGTCGTCTCCATCTTCGTCCTGAAGCAGCCTCCGGCACCACATACAGTTCAGCCGGAAAGGCATATATTGCCGCTGACACCGTTGGAGTACGGACACCCGGGTCTGCCTCCGGGGTGATCTTGCTACCTGTACTAATTGTAGCGTAGTCAACTGGCTCCCTCGGGGCGCATCTAACGGGCTTATACGTTCACTCACACCACCAGCCATGCCGTTCATCTACCTCACGTTCCTCCCATGCTCTCCCACGCCCACCCATGGTCACCCATACCTACCCATGCCCACCCATGCCCACTCTGTACTGTAGGGCTACTGTACACAAAGATAAACAGTCAGGAAGCGTTAAACTACAGGCAAGTGTCTCTTAAATACCCGTGCAAGGTATGTCTACCTATCTACCTGTCTACCTGTTGGTGGTTCCCCGTGGCGGGCTCTGGGGCAGCTTCCTGGTTGGCGGTCAGACCAGCCAGACTGTTACACGCCCTAGCTCGCAGTCTGACGTGAATCAAGGCCAAATGTATCAGGTATCCTTTAGAGATGTTTGTCAAGTTCTCCTCTCAACACCCTGACAGGTCATCTAATCACACCTCTTCCGTGTGGAGGGAGAATGTTGGAACATCTTGGGATCTTAATGTCGATAGAATTGTCAATTATAAAGTATTACACGCTTTACAATAAGGCTATTTTGCATTTCTTATCATGCCTCCAGGTTTTTATTTCCTCTCCATCAGTCGCCGTGGATGGAAGGCACTGAACCCCAGGGGCGCCGTACCACAGGGGGCGCCGTACCACTGTGGTTCTCTAGCCTATCATATCCTAACCTAGCTAGAGATATCCTGCAGAAGTAAAGCTGATATTCGTTCTGCATGTATCCACAGTGTGTACGCATGCCAGCTTCACCTCTCTCAGGCATACTCCGGGGATCACTCACCTGTTTAGGTACCAACAGCCTCACCTGGTCGCCATCACTGCAATCACCAACGTCTCTAGCTTTGAATGGGGGTGTTAGTGTGCAGCAATATTTCACTCTAGAGAGCACCAGGGGGTGGGGGGTGGTTCTGCTCCACACTACGATTCCTGGTTGATACCTGGTTGATGGGGTTCTGGGAGTTCTTCTACTCCCCAAGCCCGGCCCGAGGCCAGGCTTGACTTGTGAGAGCTTGGTCCACTAGGCTGTTGCTTGGAGCGGCCCACAGGCCCACATACCCACCACAGCCCGGCTGGTCCGGCACTCCTTGGAGGAAACAATCTAGTTTCCTCTTGAAGATGCTTTTTCCACTCTACGTCATAAAATAAGTACTGTTATTGGGGAACTGAGCACTTCATGGTGGATGATCCTGATTTGATTACTATTACTCTTTCTGTTCGTTAAAAAAATTCGTTAGGTTCTATTTGTTAGGAAATTAAAGCTCCATCTTCCTAATTTACCAGTGATTCCTTTTTGTGCGCGTACCTTGGCCAATGAACAAATCCACAAGGGCCGTGAGGAGGGTTCGAACTTACCATGGTCATTCCTGTCGAAAGGTTGGCGAAGCCTGTGTGTATATAATATCAGCGATTTTGCTTGTCCTCCATGGGGTATATACTCGTAACGACTTAGCGCTTGCTGGTGATAATTACCTCACCTGGCTTCCATGGCCTCTAAGGCTATCTTGAGATGATTTCGGGGCTTTAGTGTCCCCGCGGCCCGGTCCTCGACCAGGCCTCCACCCCCAGGAAGCAGCCCGTGACAGCTGACTAACACCCAGGTACCTATTACACTGCTAGGTAACAGGGGCATAGGGTGAAAGAAACTCTGCCCATTGTTTCTCGCCGGCGCCTGGGATCGAACGCAGGACCACAGGATAACAAGTCCAGTGTGCTGTCCGCTCGGCCGACCGGCTCCCGACCGGCTATGTCAGAGTGGTGGTGAGAAAGACCCAGTAACACCTCTAAAGAGAAGAACATATTATGTTGCAAATTCGGTATGTTGTTGCTAAGGTTGCGGTGTCCCCTGATTGGCGAGCCACATGCCTCAATCCACCACCCATCTATTAGATAGTCACACGCCTCTATCCACACCTACTGGAGATATCCATCCCCCACTTTCCACACCCATCCCACGCGGCTCTAGGTACGCTTGCCCTATCCGTGAATAGTATTACGGTGTAATATTGACCTATATTGACCTGCGCACCCTCGACCCCATACACAGGAGGCAGGTAAGGTAAGGATCAAGATTAGATGGTAGAAAATAATAATATTAATAATAAAAGGTTTATACAGTGATAAATAAAGAGACGGATAATTAGTATCGATTGCAGGAGCTGCCGTGATTAGTTAATCCAATGACTGTGTTCTTGTGCTGGTGATTGATTGCCGAAGACAGTCTATCATCTTGTAAGTCGCGTGTCGTAACTAGTATTGGGAAGGCAGCACCTTAAGAGGTTCCAGAAGATGAGAGGAAATGTCAGCACTGTGGAGAAATGCCCAACAGACCACTGGAACATTATCTAACACAGTGCACAGTTACAAACCCATTAAGATTTCAACTTAGATTCAACAGAGCTGAAGAAGTTATTAAACATATATGGCAAAATCTTACTGAAGCGACCATACGAGTCATAAATACTCATACTCCGCCCAAGTAAAACAGAAACAAGCAACACTTAGTGGGCCAGCCAGAGGCTTAGGGCCCACGCAGGAATTTCCCTGCCAAAAAAAAGTACCTTAGAAGCCAGACTGAGAAAAGTACTTTTACTCAGTACCTTCTGTTCCGCCTCAACCCAAACCAATCTCTTACAAGACATGCAAATCGGTTCACATTAACCGCAAAGGCCTGGCTGGCCACCATAGTATATTGTCTTCATAAAACTGAATAGGAGTGGTTCGGGGCCTTGTATCCCTCATACGTTAAACCAGTTTGGGAAGATGCGGAGCCAGCGTCGAAGCCGTAAACACGAAACCGAACACGAGAATGTACCGAGGGATGCCGCTATCTTAGTCCCAGAGCCTGAGAGGTATGAGTTACCAGGTAAAACTAAGGAATTAATCGTCCATCACTGGAGGAGATATGATTACTTCTTACAAAATACTCAGCTAGCCCCAAAAAACAGTCTTGTTTAGTAGGAATGAGAAGTGAGGTAGTGGAGTTAGACTCTCTACTCGGCTTCAGAGATAGATATAACAACCTAATGGGGTTGATAACCCTGTATGCTAGTCGATTGCAGGTTGAGAAGCGGGACCCAAGAACTGAAGCACCACCCCCACAAGCACAGCCGGGCAGATACGAACATCTATATAGTAACACTGTGAGAGGAAGCCTCGTACGCGCGCTGGGTGGACCTTTAGACATTTGAAGGCATACAAGGTCCCAGCTCTACCATGACCTTGGTATGATGCATGGGACCTCCACCCTGACCTTGGTGGAGGCATCAGGCCATGGACCATGGGGCCTCCACCATGACCTTGGTGGAGGCGTCAGGCCATAGACCATGGTACCTCCACCCTGACCTTGGTGGAGGCATCAGGCCATGGACCATGGGGCCTCCACCATGACCTTGGTGGGGGCGTCAGGCCATAGACCATGGTACCTCCACCCTGACCTTGGTGGGGGCATCAGGCCATAGACCATGGTACCTCCACCCTGACCTTGGTGGGGGCATCAGGCCATAGACCATGGTACCTCCACCCTGACCTTGGTGGGGGCATCAGGCCATAGACCATGGTACCTCCACCCTGACCTTGGTGAGGGCGTCAGGCCATGGACCATGGGCTCCACCATGACCTTGGTGGGGGCGTCAGGCCATAGACCATGGTACCTCCACCCTGACCTTGGTGGGGGCGTCAGCCCATGGACCATGGGCTCCACCATGACTTTGGTGGAGGCATCAGGCCATAGACCATGGTACCTCCCACCCTGACCTTGGTGGGGGCGTCAGCCCATGGACCATGGGCTCCACTATGACCTTGGTGGAGGCATCAGGCCATAGACCATGGTACCTCCCACCCTGACCTTGGAGGGGGCGTCAGGCCATGGACCATGGGCTCCACTATGACCTTGGTGGAGGCATCAGGCCATAGACCATGGTACCTCCCACCCTGACCTTGGTGGGGGCGTCAGCCCATGGACCATGGGCTCCACTATGACCTTGGTGGAGGCATCAGGCCATAGACCATGGTACCTCCCACCCTGACCTTGGAGGGGGCGTCAGGCCATGGACCATGGGCTCCACCTGAGCACACTAAAGGTGTTTACGAGGAGTCTGCAATTCTGCAAAGTTATCCAAGTCAAAATGTTTCGTTGGGAAGAGTAATCGGTAAAAAGATAACATCCTAAACAGACACAGATTGACAGATATAGACTGACAGACACAAAACACAGGGACGGAAAGATACAGCTTGACAAACACAGACTGTTATATACAGACAAACACAGACGGACAGACAAAGACAACTAAACACACACATGAGCAGACAGTTGAACACGGTGGAAAAAAGTCTCCACCTAGCGGGCAGGTGCTCCCTCTGGAGTGTAGGAAAATGTGAATATATCAACACAAAGAGCAGTAACTGCGTTAGATTATATCACTAGTGAGTCTTTTTGTTGCCAAGGATGTTGGCTCCCTTGTTGCCAAGATCGCTTTTGCTGATGTGGATAGCCTACCTGTCTCCTAAGGAGGATGCTAGCTGCCGTTCTCATTATCCGCCTGTGGGCACTCTGCCCTTGGTAAGGCCAGGCTCCATTACACCTGTGTGGCTAACCAACTGAGGAAAGTTGGTTATGGACCGTAAGAGGCTATGAGGCTATTATAAAGTATAGCATTAGGGAAGACAAAGGAGGAAATGTATATGTTTATCTCTCATAATGTTCGGTAATATGTTTATTGCTTGTGATGTGTGTCTATGTATGTATTAACACGATGTACTGAACGGGGTGAGAATAGCTTGAGCTACCTCATCCCTTTGTGTGTATTTTACCTCAATAAACTGATTTCAATTTCAATTTCCTAGTGTTTGGGGACCCGCGGGCCGTTTTCCTTGGGGTTGAAGACTTGTCAACCACTAATGGAGGTAGTGTATTTATCTGTGTGTGTGTGTGTGTGTGTGTGTGTGTGTGTGTGTGTGTGTGTGTGTGTGTGTGTGTGTGTGTGTGTGTGTGTGTGTGTGTGTGTGTGTGTGTGTGTGTGTGTGTGTGTGTGTGTGTGTGTGTGTGTGTGTGTGTGTGTGTGTGTGTGTGTGTGTGTGTGTGTGTGTGTGTGTGTGTGTGTGTGTGTGTAAATTTGTCGTTACACTTGTACGTACTTATTCAGCTACTGATTGTGAGTTAATAAAGAGATCAAGTCAACCACTTTTATGAGTAAAGTAAATTTATATTTGCGCGAGAATACGTTGGTAGAGAGTGAAGAGCTTACTAAAATCATATATTTTATTTGGTATACTCGTTATATATAGATTATAGTTTACTATTTAATATCTAATGTTGGCATTTAGTTTTCTGTGTACGACAAAGTTTCAGCATTTTGTGTTTGTAAAGCCTAATATCTGCCAGCGAAACACAGTGTTGCCATATTGCATTGCAAGTCAACTGAAAAAGTGTCATATTTAATGGTTATTTGTTAATAACTTGCAAGTGCGCAATCATTTCGGTAACTATTTATACATTTTAAATGCTGCGTTTAGCATTATCATTCCCATCTTTACCCTCCATATTGTTTATTATTTACCCATATTTATCATCTCCATATTGTTTATCTGAGGCTGAGTATGACCAAGGAATTTCAGGCTGAGGCTTTTCCACTCTCAGTAACACTCAGTAGTACTCACCTGGTTGTGCTTGCGGGGGTTGAGCTCTGGCTCTTTGGTCCCGCCTCTCAACTGTCAATCGACTGGTGTACAGGTTCCTGAGCCTACTGGGCTCTATCATATCTACACTTGAAACTGTGTATGGAGTCAGCCTCCACCACAACAGTACTTAATGCATTCCATTTGTTAACTACTCTGACACTGAAAAAAATACTGGAGTATCTGGTGTGCACTCAGTAGAAGCGTATCTAGTGTGCACTCAGAAGTAGCGTATCTAGTGTGCACTCAATGATGCCCTTGGAGCTTTTCCCGGCGCGCGCGATAGGCACAAACCTGTTTTCAACGGAATGTGTGTGTGTGTGTGTGTTTGTGTGTGTGTGTGTGTGTGTGTGTGTGTGTGTGTGTGTGTGTGTGTACTCACCTAGTTATTATTGTTGTACTTGCGGGGGTTGAGCTCTGGCTCTTTGGTCCCGCCTCTCAACCGTCAATCAACTGGTGTACAGATCCCTGAGCCTATTGGGCTCTATCATATCTACACTTGAAACTGTGTATGGAGTCAGCCTCCACCACATCACTGCCTAATGCATTCCATCTGTTAACTACTCTGACACTGAAAAAGTTCTTTCTAACGTCTCTTGTGGCTCATTTGGGTATTCAGTTTCCACCTGTGCCCCCTTGTTCGCGTACCCCCTCCCCTGTCCCTTATTAAACAGATATATCTTTATCTACCCTGTCGATTTTTTTTTTAGAATTTGTAGGTAGTGATCATGTCTTCCCCGAGCTCTTCTGTCTTCCAGCGACATGAGGTGCATTTCACTCAGTCTTTCCTCGTAATTTCATGCCTCTTAGTTCTGGGACTAGCCTAGTGGCATACCTCTGAACTTTTCCCAGCTTCGTCTTGTGCTTGACAATGTACGGGCTCCATGCTGGGGCCGCATACTCCAGGATGGTCTTACATATGTGGTACACAAGTATACTCACTCTCTCTCTCACTCTCACTCTCTCTCTCTTCTCCCTAACTCTCTCTCTCTCTCTCTCTCTCTCTCTCTCTCTCTCTCTCTCTCTCTCTCTCTCTCTCCTCCTCCCGCTCTCTCTCTCTCTCTCTCTGTGTTTGTGTCTGCAGGAGAGGTATGGCATGGTATTTTCCCATCATTAATTTGTCGGCCTAAGGCTTGCCACACCTTCGTCCAAACTCCTTGCACATTACTACCCAACATCACCCTTAGGCTGGCTTACCTTCCCCCCCCCCCTCCCTTTACCTTACCTTGCCTCCATCCTCCCTCCTCTCCCTACCCGCCTTCTGAACCCTCACTAATGCTGCATCAGCTGATTTTTGTACTACACACCAATCTGTAGTTTCTTCTGCGTTTCCTTGTGTATGCAACTGGGCGAGACTGGCCGCCTGGCACCAGTCTAGGCTGTCTCAGTTTGGATTATAGGAGTCGTCTGGGTTTCACATGATTTATATATATATATACCGCGCGGCATCTGGAGAAGCCTTTGCGTATCAGCTTGAAGCGTTGAGCACTTAGTGTATCAGGACCAGAGGGGAAAGGTTCTTGGTATACCTGGGGCCATGTGGCCCTTTGGTGGCAGATTTTAGCACCATTTTTAACTCATCGCCGGCCTCGGGGCTGTTTGGGGGGGGTGGAGGTGCTTGAACCATTACACACATAAATCACAATAGAGTGATGTATCAAATGAACAAATCCACAACGGCCGTGACGAGGATTCGAACCTGCGTCCGAGAGCATCCCAAACGCTGCTTTTTCAACTTGAGTCATATTGTGATATGACCTTTATTAGCGGTATCGTTTTGTGTAATTCAAACTCTGCTCTTCAAGCAACTGGGAAATTTTCTGTAAAAACCTCCTAACAGCAATCACAAATAACATGTTCGCTATACAGAATACTTTGTAGTTTACAATGTCTTTTGTATGGATTCCGGCTCTCCAAATATAACGCTCCCCAAATATAACTTTGAGGAGCCGGTCGGCCGAGCGGACAGCACACTGGACTTGTGATCCTGTGGCCCCAGGTTCGATCCCAGGCGCCGGCGAGAAACAATGGGCAGAGTTTGTTTTCACCCTAAGCCCCTGT